GGGGGGGGGTGGCAGAGCCAGGCCGTCCGTGCGTGACACATCATAACTGCACATTACGACGCCCATCCCAACCGAGAAAGCCTCGAGATGAGTATACGGCAGGGAAAAGGACCCGCAAAAGAAATGGCTGCCCAAAACGATATATTTTCGAGTACCGTCGCGAGCGGGGCGTGCCTCGCCTACCGGGCGGTCTAGTCCAGCCCCGAGATTTGTCCGGCAGATCACTTTGGCGCCAAGACCGGTGGGATTCCGGTCTGGCTGGAGGCTGGACAGCTACTGCGCTGGGGGGAAGGAGATGAGCTACTTCCTCCGTCTGGAACGTTCCACTGTTCTAGTTCTAGCAAAATCATCCCCATAACAGATTCCAGAGTCATTGACCACGCCCATAGCTTAGCAGCGTGTAGACTGGTGAGAAATGACATGTCGAAGCGAAATGAAAACGATGTCTAAACGATGCCGTTTTCATTCTGTTTTTACGGTTATTTTTCACAGGTACACTTTCTTTTACAGGAGAGATTCGGAACGTTTCCATTCCGGAACGTGATTGATGACCAATGTCAAAAACGATATGGGAAAACTAAAACCATCGAGTCGAAACATGGTCTAAATCTAAACCATTTCATTTCGGCATCGGATCATAAGTTCGCCATTAGCTGACAGCCCTGCGACCTGCGACACTCACCCTGGATTCCCTCATGATGGCGGTGGAGAGTGGTGAAGGGATGATTTGTTATCCAATCGGATTCCTCCAAGAAGGCAGAAGACGCAGACGACCGCGGTTGCAGATTTTTGGGGCTCCCACTCAAGTCGACTTCAAACACGTCTGAGTAGTCCGTACGTTGCACCACAAGCACGATCACAAACTTCCGATTCGGGTGGCGAGTAGATCGGAAACGGCCGCTATGGTCGTACGGAAACTCACTACGAGAGAGAAAACAAAAGTAGGGGGAAGCCTCGCGCCTGTCTACCCTCGCAGGCCACACCGGAGCGCTGCGGGCTCAAACGTGGAGTGATCCGGAGCCGGCTGCGGGGCTCGCTTTTATAAAGTCGGGCCGGAGCGACGCGACGCCGGGCGGCGGGCGCGGGGTGGCGTGCAGTCTGGACTGGAGAGGCATCTTCGTGCGCGCCGCCAAAGCCGCCGCCGCCGCCGGCCGGTGCCGGTGTCGACCGGTGTGAGGGCAGAAGGCGGTTTAGGTTTGAGGCGATGAATAATTATAATATTTTTCAGAGAGAAATTAAAGTATTAGGTCCTAATACTTTTTTTGGAAAGAAACAAAACACAACAATAGCCAACTTTTGAGCAAACCCGGCCTCAAGCCTGAGCCAACCGACCAACCAATATTTTTGTCGATTCTCTTTTCCTATTCCTTAAAATTGAAATTTTTTGGAACTCTGTCTTATTTTACTTATTATTTTTTCTCTATTATTTTCAAAGCTGATGTAACATCCGGTTGTTTTATGCAGTCTTCTCTTTTAAACACATTTTGCGATTAGGCAGTGTTTTTGTTCGAAATTCGGAGACATCCCCCTTAATGCGCCTTAATGTTCCAAAAGCCTTCCTCCACAAACTATTGCGTGCAGACGTATGAAAGTGGGCGGGTGATTGCCGTTTATTTTAATGGTTTTATCCTGCTTTCGACTTTTTCTGTTCCTTATTTCTTTTCCGCTCTTCTCGTCTATCCGAAAAAGACACATCTTTCCTATCCCACGCAATCTCCTGATGTGCCCGGTGAATGCGCCCCTCCTCCATATGCCCGATGTTATTGTGGGCGCCAAAAAGGAGTTAAGGCCAAGGCTGGGCAGCCAGCCGGCCGGTCACTGCTTGGGCTTGGCTCTCCGGGCTGCTCTGCTCTGTGGGCTCCTCCTAGATCCGTTGACCCCGCGTCCATAGCTGCGCCTTCCCCAGCCCGAGCGGGACCCGCTGCCCAACCATACCATCAGACCGTCGCGCTACGCAGCTTTACTTCTGGCGAAGCTTCAGTAAAGCCAGCCCCTATACTTAGACTTTAGACTCTTCGCTGTTTGCAAGACAGACAATGGACTTGCAAGTGTACACGATTGCTGCACACCTTAACTCACAATAAGCTCTAGATGTGCGACAATTAAGCTTACATTGTTATTGCGCGAGCGAACAACTGTTCACACTCTTGTAGGTGCCCAAATAGACATTCGCAGACTTGCAGAGAAGATGTCGTTCATCTACACAGGGTGAGTTTATTCGCCCGCCCAAAAGCAACAGCTGTGAGCTGCATTCGTCCATTTGGATTTCCGGGATTTCCGGTGCGCACAAAAACTGTTGAACCTTCCGAGCGCGCGCGCACATTTGAATTTGGACCCACTTTGCCGGGAGATCTCTTGTTTGTGCGAAGACCATTCGGTAAACCCCTCCGGAGAGCGCGCTCGTTGTTTGTCCGCGGGTTCAGGAATCGCAGCGTTTTTGCGTCAAACGCACGCACACACAAACAATAACAACCGACCGACCGAGCAGCGCGCGGCATTTCCCGCGAGTCGGTCGGAGTCGGACGGGCACGTGTGTCCCGCAGCGGCGCGCCGGGGCGTCAGGACCGGACTAAATTTTCCGGAAAAGTTCGAGTTTTTCGATAAAAAAAACTTCTTTTCCAGGTTTTTATTGACGATAATAACACTTTTTTATTTGAAAATTATCCATGAAAGTTCGAAAAAAATGAAAAATAGGGAACTTTTTTCAAAATTTTCGCCTTTTACCTCTGTTTGTTTTTTTCGTTTTTTTCCACAACTTTTTCGTTTTTCTCTTCGGCCTTCAAATCCTGTGAGAGCGGATCAAACCTCTGCACGAAAGCTTACTGCGCCGCCTGTGAGAGGCGCGCAATTCAAATGGCGACCTCTCACGCGGGAGAGACGCGCGCGCATGGCAACATATCCAACGATTCACTCATTTTATTTCACGTTCATCACATGCCCGGGGACCAGCCACGGAGGAGAGTCGTAAACGAGAGTTTGACTTTGGGATAGTTAGTATTCTTGTCGTCGGGGGAACTACCGCCATCTAGCGGTGTAGGGAATGATAAAAAATGTTTGTAAAGTGACGCACCGGTGACGCGGTGGTTGTTGGAGCAGGGCAGGGCAGTCGGGGGTTACTGACCATTTTACCGACCAGACGCGGTAAAATGACATGTCATGTCATCCCTTATAAAAGGAGTGCGATACGAGTTGCAACACTTTCTTTCATCAATGGACCTTCAGAATTTCCGAGAGTTTGCAAGACAGTACCAAAGGATGTTTCATTAATTGCAATTATTTTTACCTGTGAATTATTATTTAGTTACTTTTACACCGGGTTAAACATACCCGAGCCCTAAGTTCGCAAAAATGTCCTAAACCGTGCAACCCCCATGCGTTGCCTGATGAAAGTTAGATCTAGTAGATGCATCTACAGGTGCACAGCACAGGTGCACCCCTAGAAAACGAGCGGAAATGTTCGCGAATCCTCCTTGGCTGTCTGTTTACAAACTTATGCAGATTAGCGGGCTGGCGAGACGGCCGGACGCCCGGGCGCCAAGCTACTGGAATCTTTCCACTCCTCGGTGCCATAATTGATGCATGCGCAAAGCCTGTTTTCATTTTCAAATCTCTCCTCCAGGCTCTCGCATTGCAGTCCTCCCGACCCGAAACCACCATGGGCTCAAAGACGACACTGCAGTCAGAACACCTAATAGAGTGCGTTTAGTTAACAGAGGGAGTAAAGGGTCGCCTAGAAAGCGCGTACGTTTTTCGCAGACTCGTTCGGCACACTACGGGAGCATGGCGCCTGCGAGACTCGGGGTAGGCCACCCCGCAGTACACGCATGCGCTGCAGACAAAGATCTTGCCTACTCATCAGGCGCTATGAGAGCTTTGCATCGGCTAAAAACTTGACAAGTTCGTAACGCGACGGAGAGTGACGGGCGTACTTTCTGGTTGATCCCTGAAGACGAACAGCCGTTAGAATGGCACGAAGGTTCCTGATTGGTCGAGAGTTTCACAATAAGCCGCACTTCCGGTTGTGATCGCCCGCCCCCGCTCACTACGCTACTTGTGGCTTATCGCCACCGCCACCTCCGCGTGGCACGGCCGAACGGATGACTTCACCTTTTGCAAATAGTAGGGTCGACACCAAAGTGACAACTACTTTTGCTTGTCATTGCCGACTTATTAAGACTTTGACTGCGAAGAAAAAAAATGAGCAATTCGGCGTTAAACGCATCATTGTCTTCCGTCGTTTCGTCCGCACTGTAGTCGCGTCGGCGTGCGTCTCGCATCACGCCCAAGTACTACGAGGTGTGTATTTTATCCTTTCCTAGAACCCAGCGGTAAACGAGCGTGGGCGAAGAGGGGAGCTGGACACTGTGAGAAATTGTCCCGCACCGGGTACAGGAACATAACATTTTTCCATTCAAAATTGTACATTTCCCAAGCACTTCGTATCGACTTGAAATCCATTGACGAGCAAGAGTGCCAAGTCGTACAGGCTCACACTGAATGGCAAGAGACAATTTTTGTGCGGAGGCTAGATGTGTCTTTGTGTGCATCTAAACCAAATGCAAATTTGTATCTACGTTACAAACAAAATACAGCATTTGTACGTAGCCTAGGTACAATTTGTACCTTCCATACAGAATTGATGAAGATGAGCTCAAAGACACATAACCTAGGTACAAAAATGGTCCCTCCCCATTTGGAGTGCACATTAACATATATTTTGTAAGTAGTAAGTCACAAAATGTATACTACTGTACATGTACGAATATGTTATTTTTTCACAGTGGATAGAGGCGAGTGGAATATTTGCGGCGACACCTCGCATACACCTAATACCGGGCACACCCGCCGCCGGCCGAGCTGGTCCAGTCCGGGATGAATCCGGTCGGAGCAACCTGTAACCGGATAATGAGGGAGGAAAAGAGAAGGGGGGAGGGGGGAAGGGGTACGCTCCTGACCAGCACTGCAGGACTTGTAAACACGCCGGCCCACCGCCGCACCTCCCCGACAACCCAAGCCGCGCCGCCATAGATGCGTTTCGGCGAGAGTGCGCCTTGCACGACGGCGTCGAGAACGTTCCAGCAGCAGCAGCCAGAGGCGCGGTCTGATCGAAACCTCCCATCCCCCCCCCCCTCCCTTTTTCCTCGGTCCGAGCGATGTCGAAACGATTTTAATCAAAACGATATCGGGAAGGCGCGTACGATGAAACGCGGTGTACAGTTATACCTGATTTGATGGTGTTGACTTTTGAACTGGAAGCGCCGCAAGCCTGCCCTATGCCTGTGATGTCGTTTTAGGCGTGTGAATTCTCACTCCGGAAATTACGAAAAAAAGAATTTTAAAAAATTCCGACCAAGAATTTCAAGCAAAATATCCCAAGAAATGTTTTGGGGAAAAAGCAATCCAAAAGAAAAATTAAAAAAAAAAAAAGTTTCCTTACGCAAGTGTGGAATTCGCACTCCGACAAGTGTGTGAAGGAGAAATCGCACACCCGAAAAGTACGCAACGTTCACGCACTTTATGGTTTCTAGTGAAGGTGCTGCAGGTGTCTCCACTCGCCTCCTTTTGACCGGCGCGACTCCTCTGGTTATCGGGCGCCGTATCACGCCGCCGGCTATCTCCTCCAAGGGACGCCCAGCCAGCTGGGCCCCCGGGCGTGCGCCTCGCAGTGCGGCGCGGCGGGACGCGGGGGACGACGGCGAGCACCTCATGGCCGCCCAGGACAGCGACGACGGGGACCTCCCCCCGTGGACGGCGGACGCGTTCGACGTGGAGCGGGAGCTCCGCGTCAACGACCGCCTGCGGCGGGAGGACCTGGACGAGATCCAGGAGTGGGCCCGCCGGCAACGCAACCTGCCCGCCATGCGGGGTACGTCCCGGGTGAGGGCCGCCGTCCGCGTCCGCAACGCCTTCCCCTCGTCGCGCACCCCCCTTCACCGCTGTCGTTCTTGTCGCAGAGGGCGACTTTGCCAAGTTCCTGCACAGCTGCGACTACGACGTGCTGGCGGCCGAGACCTGCATCAACTACTACTACAAGACGCGGGTGTCCACGGCCGTCTTCCACAACCGGGACCTCTCGCTGGCGAGCGTGAAGGCGCAGACCGACCTGCTGTGAGTCTCTACCAACAGCCGCCTGTGCATAGGCAACACTGCGACCGCCGCGCGCCGGAGTCGGGCGGGGTTGCCTACCCCGCAGTTCACAGGCGCTCGGCGGTGGCTCTGGCGGGAGTGGGGAGGGAGAAAATCGTCTCAAAATAGAAACTGTTAGAATGATGGCATTTTAAACGAACCAGTTTCTACCACACGTGCTGCGCGCGGGGGGCCAGAGCGTCATGTCGCCGCGACCACCTGTTGCATCTAAATTCCATATTACCTCAGTACCACCAACAATAAGCACTGTGCGACGTCTTACACGTCTTACGTTACGTCTTACGTTACCTCTTACGTTACG